GTGGGGGCGATATGCTGACTCTGTAAACCGCTTAGAGAGGGCTGAAAGCCCTATGAAGCGGTATATAAGTCTAAGTGCTATTGCTATTGCTAAAGGTCATAATTAGTACCTTGAATCGCACCCGGAAGACAACCGGCAACCAGTGCAGGCCGCCTAAAAGGGGTGTAACATGGGAGCACCTGGAAGGAGGGAAGGTTGAGATCAAACTGCTAGCAGTGGGCAGAATTTGCTTGCAGTGCTGAATTCTAATCACTGCGCCAACATGGCCCTTCCTTCCTTCCTTCCTTCCTTCCTTCCTTCCTTCCTTCCTTCCTGGTAATAGCACTTAGATTTATATACAGCCTCACAGTGCTTTCCAGCCCTAAGTGGCTTACAGAGTCAGCCTCTTGCCCCCAGCAATCTGGGTCCTCATTTTATTGACCTCGAAAAGACGGAAGGCTGAGTCAACCTTGAGCCGGTCAGGATCGAACTGCTGGCAGTGGGCAGAATTTACAGCACTGCTGTATTGAAACTCCTGAGCCACCATGGCCCTTCCTTCCTTCCTCCCTCCCTCCCTCCCTTCCCTTTCCCCTTCCTTCCTTCCTTCCTTCCTTCCTTCCTTCCTTCCTTCCTTCCTTCCTTAGCATTAGCACTTGGACTTATATACAGCCTCACAGTGCTTTGCAGCCCTCTCTAAGTGGCTTACAGAGTCAGCCTCTTGCCCCCAGCAATCCGGGTCCTCACTTTACTGACCTCGAAAGGACGGAAGGCTGAGTCAACCTAGAGCTTGTGGGACTTGGAACTGTATATGAAAATAAAGGAATGGCTTTAAAATAGGTAGCTACGTGTCTTCACCCAAGGTATTTGGGCTCCGCATTAAACACCTCCGGAAGGGAATAAAGGAAAAACACACACCCATTAAGTTGCTGTTCAGGAGGAAAACCCCGTGGGCAGCTCCAGCTTTCTCCATGAGAAGATAGAATGGGTGGACGCCGTAGAGATTGTAGGACTCCTGTACACAACAGAGAGAGAGAAAAGCTATCAAAACCTGGCTATTCCGGCAGGCCTGGGGATGTTGACCTCTGGATTGAGTTTCAGTTTCAGTTTATTACATTTATATGCCGCCCTTTTCCCCCCGAAGGTGACTCAGGGCGGCTCACAACTCAACCAGGGAAGGGGGATACAGAAACACAAAAAAATTTAAAAACAAAGCATAACAATGCATAATTTAAAAACACACAACAGTCATACCATTCGAGATNTCTATCTATCTATCTATCTATCTATCTATCTATCTATCTATCTATCTATCTATCTATCTATCTATCTATCTATATCCATATCTCCATCTATCATCTATCTATCTACCTACCTACCTATCTACCTATCTATCCGCTAGCAAGCTGTGATTTGGGAGGACTTCTTAAGAGAGAACGGGCACAGGGAGGATTGGGTGGTACGGTTGTTCATAGTTTTCCACACAAGTTGTGTTTGACGCTCATTTTTCTTTCTCTAGCAGTTCTGGACAAAACAGAACTGTGATGCAGAGAGAAACCCTCAGCCTGTCTTCACAGAAGCCTTCAGAAGCATCCCAGAGGAAGTCAAGACAAGGCCCTACTCCTCTCATTCTTCCTTATCTTTGGCCTCGGGAACAGCAAAAAAAAAAAAATCAAAACATTCGCCTGCTTAGGCCTAAATAGCAAGGAAATCGGTTCCTCCTGCAATCTCAGGTAATTCAGTCGTCGGATCCTTCCTTCATCAGCCAACCTCTGAATGCAAAACGGACCAAGGACAGAAAGTTCAGAAAACGCAGCCATGAGAGGCCTGCAGCTGACAAAGATGCGGTTAAACGCCTGGCAGTTGCTAAAGAGGCCATCCTGAGCCAGGAAACAGATGTCTTGGCTCCAGAAAGCGCCCACAAGACCGCATTTCCCCCTCGGATCGTCTGGATCCTGAAGTTCTGGCTCAAAGCTTCGTCTCGCAGGATTGCAAATCCGTTTCAAGGAATTAAAAAAGGAAGAGGAATGGGAAGCAGGCAATCTTTGACTTAGCAATCCCCCGATTAGGGACCGTCTGGACGTACGACAGTGCTGGAAAAAAGTAACTCACAACTAATCCTTGCGTGTTGTAGCACCTGCTGCACAATGGCGCAAAACCGGGCACGGCTCACTTAACAACTGCCTTGCTTGGGAATGGATGCTCTGGCCCAGTGGTGGGTTTCAAATAATTTAACAACCGGTTCTCTGCCATAATATAGAGCCGAGGTGGCACATATAGAGCCGAGGTGGCGCAGTGGTTAGGGTGCAGTACTGCAGGCCACTACAGCTGACTGTTATCTGCAGTTCGGCGGTTCAAATCTCACCGGCTCAAGGATGACTCAGCCTTCAATCCTTACGAGATAGATGAAATGAGGGCCCAGACTGTGGGGGTGATGTGCTGACTCTCT